CAAGCCAGTAAGCAGTGTTCCTCCATGGCCTGTGCTCCAGCTCCTGCTTCCAGGTTCCTGCCCTGAGTTCCTATCTTGGGCTCCCTAATGAACTGCAACCTGGGAGATGTAAGCTGAATAAACTCTTTCCTCCCCAAGTTGGTATTGGTCAGAGTATTTTGTCACAGCAATGAAGAACAAACTAGGACACCTGGTCTCCTAGTTCAAATCATACTGTCCTAGCTCTGTCCTAGGTTGTAATTAGGTGCATGGGTGTCATTGTTATTATCGTCACCCAAGTCATCATCAGGTCAAAGAAAACAGAAATTGCACATTTTCCATATGATATCCATACCACTTAGCACAGTGCTTGGTGCATAAGTAAATAGTTGTTGAACACATGAAGGAATGAGTGAGTGAATAAGCATTATCCTGTATCTATGAATAGAATACATGAGAACTTTCAGAGAACTAGTGTCCATGATCCTGAGTGAACTCACCCTAGGAGGAACCTCTGACCACAGGCTACCTGGCAGCTTCAAAGACTGGCTCTCCAAATGAGTCTGTTAGGGGACCCGTTTGGACATGAGAATGCTTACTTTGAGTTAGTGACTAAGCATATCTTGGAGAAACTGTTATTTGTATATAAATGTCATAACTTCAGGAGTGATGTACAACAAATCCTATCACTCACTGCATCTAGTACTTCAGTTTGGTTTTTGTTTTGCTTTTGTTTTTGAGATAGGGTCTCACTATGTAGCCCTGGCAGGCCTGGAATTTGCTATGTAGACCAGGCTGGCCCCAAACTCACAGAGATTCACCTGCTTCTGCCTCCCACATGCTGGGATTAAAGACATGCACTACTAATGTTTTTATTCATTTATTTTTATTTTATTTGTGTGAGTGTTTTGCCTGCATGTTAAGTGCACCACATAATGCAATACCCATGGAAGCCAGAAGAGGGCAACAGATCCCTTGGAACTGGAGTTAAGGAAGATTGTTAGCCACCAAGTGAGTACTGGGAACTGAACCCCACTCCTCTGCAAGAGCAGCCAGTGTTTTTAACCACTGAGCCATATCTCCAACCCCCTAGTAGTTTGGAAACACCATTACTCATTGAAATTCTTGAGAAATTTTGGAAAAAAAAATAAAGATTTGTAAGTCCTAGCCCAACCTCCAAATTGCCAAAAGTCTATCCAAGAAACCTGCATTTCCCGAAAGCTCTTCTGGCGGCACTGTGGAACCCAGCCATAACAACAATCATGCTCTGTGTGTCAAAGTCTGTCTTTTTACAGAAGAAGCAGCACAGACATACTCTCTAGCCATAAAGAGAGCATAAAATTTTTAACGAACATGGAAGGTAATTGACAATTTGCCTGGGATCGGGAAACACAGTATGCCTTTTGAAATATCACATAATACAAATACTGCATGGTAGGTTCATTATCATGGAAATGAGATCTAATTAAAAGGCTCTGGTAGCCCATCTTCCCTCTGCAATCATGAGTAGGGCAGATATTAAAGTGTTTGGCAGACTCAGGTTTCTTCCACCAAACTGGTTATACTTGGCTGGAGCATTAATGTCAAGTTCAAACAAAGAATGGCCCAGTGGTGTTTGTCTAAGTGCTGACAGCCCTACATACAATGCCAAGTCCTTCTCACTTAAGGCCTTCATACCTGAGTGTTCCTGGCTCTAGTGAATTCAGCAATCATCACCATCACTCCTCAACACAGGTTTCTCAGCCTGGATTCTCCAGTATTTGTACTAGCTGATTCTTTGGGGCTAGGGGAGTGAGATTCCCTATGTGTAGGATGTTTAACACATCTGTAGCATCTACCTGCTAAAGAACATCAAAAACTGCCTTGAAACTTTACCCAACCTCCATCTCCACCTTCCCTATTGGGAATGGTGCTAACCTTACAGATCCACCCTATGCTGAGTTCAAACGACTTCAGGGCGAGTGAGGAATCTTCACTAGAGTCTTTGTTCTCCATAGCGAACATCTAAAAGAATATTCCTATGGATTACATCAACAAGTGCCCCAAAAGTATAAACCAAAAACAACAGACTGAAATTTAGCCTACACCAAAATGCAAAACATGCGGGTGGAGAGGGACTCAATAGTTAAGAGCACATACTGCTCTTGCAAAGGACCCAAGCTTGGATTCAGCTTACCACCACCTGTAACTCTAGCTCCAAGGGACCCAATGCCTTGAGCCTCCAGCCTCCATGGGCACCTGCATTCACATGCACAACCTCCCCTCCCCCACCATGCACACACATATATATATACATAATTAGAAATAATAAAAATCTTTAAAATGTAAAACATTTTGGGGGGTTGTTTAAGACTGCAGCTCAGACAGGCCTCAAACTTACAGCAATTCTCTCCTTCAGCATCCCAAGTACTAGGATTACAGGCATGAGCCACAGTGCCTAAAATATAAAATTTTCATATGAAAAACATCTTACACTAAGGTGCCACAGACTGAGAGAAAGCATATGCAATACAAATGATTGACCAAAAAAATAGCTTTCAGGAAACATAAGGAATATATCAGAATCAGTACTAAAAAGACAAACTCACAATGGACACTGAGCAAAGGATATGATCAGGAATTTGTAAGGCAGAAACTGAATGGCCAGTATGCAAAAAGGGGGTGGGGGCAGATAACAAGTTGAAACCAGGGGTGGTGGTGTAGGCCTTTAATCCCAACCCTCCAGAGGCAGGTGGATTTCTGTGAGATTGAGGCCGGCCTGGTCTACATATTGAATTCCAGGCCAGCTGGAGCTACAGGAAGACCCTGTCTCAAAACAAAACAAAGCAAAACAAAACGTACCAAGTGTTGGGGAAGCACTCTCAAACAGCCCTAGTGAGGTATAAATTGATCAAATCACTTCTCAAAACTGTCAGGCATTAGCAGGTAAGGCAGAGTCCTCCATTACTCTCCTGAGTGTCTGCCTTGGGAAACTACTAAGTCTCCACAAGAATGCCTGCACAATGAGTTTGTTACATTCATGCTTAGAATGCTCAAGTGTAGGCAAACCAAATGACTATCTACCCACTGATGGATGGATAAACATTCAGGACACACATGCACACAATGAAATATCATTGGCATTAAAGATTAATGCACTATGGGCTGGGGAGCTGGCTCAGTGGTTAAAGTGATTTCCATGCAAGCCTAAAGACCTGAGTTAAAATCCCCAGAACCCACGTAAAAACCGAGCATGGCAACATGTGTCTATAATCTGAGGGCTCCTAAAGTGAGACAGGAGTTTGAGACCTGAGAATTCCTGGAAGCTCACAGGTCAGCTAGCCTGGTATATGCAACAGTGAACAAGAGATCCCATCGCAAACAAGGTGGAAGGTGAGGACTGACACCTGAGGTTGCCCTTTGACCTCCATGCATGTGTGCCTGCACTCAGATACACAAATGCACACATGTACATGCTCATATCATACATCCACATCATATGCACACACACACACACACACACACGCACAAAGTTAATGGACTGGTTCACATTCCCACCAGCAGTGAATAAAGTTTCCTCTCCCCCCATATATTCTATAGCATTTGTTGTTGCTTATTTGCATAATAGGCATTCTGACTGAGATAGAATCTAAAAGCAATTTTTGCTTTTCTCTGATGGCTAAGAATGTTGGAAACTCTTTCAAATATTTATTGGCCATTTGTATATCTGTTGAGAACTGTGTATTCAGATCATTATCCAATTGGGTTTTTTAAGATTTTTATTTTATTTTTATTTATGTATATGTGTGTCACTACATGTGTGTATGCCCACGTGAGTACAGATGCCTGTGGAGGCCAGAGGTGTCAGATCCCCTGGAGCTGGAGTTGCAGGTGGTTGTGAGCTGCCTTACATGGGTGTTGAACCAAATTCGG